ACCTTGGGCACAGCTCAGATGCTGCAGCACGGTGGGTGACGCGTGCCCGGCTCTGCAGACTGTGTTAACACCCGGGGACAGGCGACAGGCTCCAGCACACACTTAAAATAGCAGTTTCTCCGAAGGTCTGGCACATGGAGGGGGGGGTCTCCAGGAAGCCAAGCATTTCTGGTCTGCCTGCGAAGCGCAGCTGGCCACGAGAGCTTGGCAGGGTTTGGGAACAGGCTGCCGCGTCCCCAGCAAGAGTCCGGACTTCCCGGGCAGCTCCTTGTCCCCTCTGCCGGCAAGCGCTGCCGGGTGCAGGGAGGTGGTGGGACCAGGGTCCCAAGGGAGCAGGGACGCACGGCGCTGTCGGGCGAGTTGCTCGGAGGGCGTCCTTCCTGCTGCCACGGCGCTCGGCACGGCGCCGGGTTTGTCTGCAAAGTCAGTGTTTGCTGAGTGTCCCCTCTGCCACCCAGGCGCCAAGCACAAGTCGATGCTGGAAGGTCACAGCACCCAGATGCGGCGAGGCCGGGGCAAGCTCCTCTCCCGGGCAGGGCACAAGGCCAAGCGGATCGGCAACAAGGGCAGCATCAACATCCAGAACAAGGCGTTTCACTGCCAAGTGTGCGAGATCTACGTGAACTCGGAGACCCAGCTCAAACAGGTGACGATGCCAGGCCTGGTGCGTACCTTTCCCCTGGGAACGCAGGGGCACCGGCGCGGGCGTGCAGACCCTCTGCAGAGGTGCCGGGGGCTCAGGGGTGGCTTCCTGACGGTCCCCTGTGAGAAGGTGATGGGCGTCCACCTGAGCCGCGCGGTGCCGTGGGTCTGCCCTCGCTGCCCTGGCTCCGGGTGACCCGGCTGTTTTCCTCTCGCAGCACATGAGCAGCCGGAGGCACAAAGACAGGCTGGCGGGGAAGCCGCCCAAGCCCAAGTACAGCCCCTATAACAAGCTGCAGAAGAACGCTGCCCTCGCAGTGAGTATTCTCAAGGTATCTGTCTCCCTGCAAATTACACACCCGGTTTGCTCTCTGAAACATCGTTTGCCACGTTAGCTATCTCTTCCAATTAGAGACAAGGGGCTGCTTCTGAAAGCCTCGGCTCCCGTGATCACACCTAACCTGCTCCCCGTGGGGAGGGCAGGCTGTCATGGTGAGCGGAGTTTTGCCTTTATTCATGGGAAGGAAAGTGCAGGAATAACTTGTGAGGCCTCTGGCAGCTTCACAACTGCAGCAGTTGTGGTTCTTCCACCTGTTCTGCGATTTCTGAACAGCAGAGCTGTGATAGTTGGGGCTGGCACAGCTCAGTTAAACCAAACCGAAGCATTTTGTTTGCAGAGACACAAGTCTCCCTGTCCAGTTTAGCAGAGAGTTTGGCAGCTAATGTCATCCCAGGGCACCGGAGGAAAGCACTGACGCAGGGAACAGCCCAGCCATTGCAGAAGCCAGGGCAGGTCGCTGGGTCGGTGTGATGGGGCCGAGGACCTCCCCGGGGAGGTCGTCACGACTGGGGCATCCCTGCGTGCTCTGACCTGGGAGCGGCCGAGCGGAGGGACCGGGGCTGTGGGATGGAGTGCCTGTTGGGTCGGGGCCAGGGGCTGCGGAGACGTGCTGAGAGCTCAGCTGAAAGCGAACGTGGGCAGGGGCTGACGCGGGGCTGCCTGCCTGGCCCGGGGGGCTGGGGCTGGGGGCTCTCCTGCAGCTGGGTGCCTCAAGGTGTCTTCTCCTCCCTCCCTGCAGTCCAAGCTGGCTTTGCAGAAGCATCTCACCAAAACCCTGGCGACCCGCTTCC